GAACCATCAATTTTTGCATAAAAGCTATTAGAAACTCTCCAGCTCTGATGAGGCTCTGATTGAGTTTGGTTTCTTCTGCAGTTCTCACAGGTTTCTTGGAGGCATTTTGCATATCAGCACATTTTCTCAGTATTTGCTGAGACTCATACGCGCTTTTGCTATCATTACTCCAGAAAGATCACCTCCGTTCTTGCTGTTAGGCTTCTTCTATTTCTGCCATTAAAATCTTTGTATTTTTGAAGCTGTATGGCTTGAGCGCCTTCCCGTTCTCTCTTGTACTCTAACAGAGGTAAGTTTAGTGTAAAGAACATGAGATTCAGTGGGGAAGGGATAGCTCTAGTGGTTGGCATGCTTGTCATGCATGAGGTCCTGGGTTCAATCCCCAGTACCTCCTCCAAAAATAAATAATAAACCTAATTACCTTTCCCCATTCCCCCCAAAAGAGAACATGAGATTCAGAACCTACTGACTGTGTCAAGCTGGTTGCTGTTTTTCCTCTGAGACTTGGACTAACTCTACTGAGCCTCGGTTTCCTAATCTCTGGACTGTATCTTGTAATATCCACCGTGCAGCTTCCCCACAATGACCAGGATTAGAGATAATACATCCGAAAACCTACAACTTACTGAAGCCGTTGTTATTCATGTGACAGGTTATAAACGGATAACCTATTTTAACAGGAAAACAACTATTCAGATCCCCTTTGTGTTCTAAGGTGTGCTTGAAGGATGAAACATAAATACTTCATTTTATCACCTGGGAATACTTGACTAATTTCCTCTGTGCTCTTATTTTACTGGGCTGTAATGTTTAATTTGAAAATGAAAAAGAGAACTACTGTTTGAAGAAAATAAGATACAGGGTATTTGTTGGACATTGAGGAAGAACGAGCTATGAAAAAATAACAAATTTTTGTGAGAGCAACTACAGGGAGACTCAGGCAGAGAAGAACAAACAAAGGCGCTTTAGAGGTCTGGGAACTCATTTTATTTCCCAGCAAGAGTTGGGTGTTTTGACCTAGAGAAGGAGCACTGTGAGAGAACTTATTTGAATGTCCTGGAATGTCCTCCATGGGAGTGGAGTTCCCCAGCTTCACTCAGGCATGAACCTCTCACCCCTATGTCGTGGCTCAGCTCAGTGGATCCTCAGGTGGATGCTGAGAGCCCCCGGATACCCAGGCTCCACGTTACCTCTAGCTGAGCAGTACAAATAGCAGATGCCCTTGTAACTAGGGTGTTTCTGTGAGTCTGTCCGGTGTCAACTATTGAGGAAGGGTGAGCTGTGCGAACAACTCTCCCTTAGCTGTCTAAAAGGGAGCTGAACGCCTAGCAGGGTTGTAATAGGTGAAGTCTTGCACCTTTTAATTGAACAAGCTCGAAGTCCCTAAGTGGAAGTAAAATGATTGATTAGCAACACTCTAAGGACACTTGTAATAGTCACAACCCACATTTCCACTTACAACGCTATTTTCTCTTAATTTTCCAAGGATAGAAGTGCTCCCCTACCAGGCCCCTCTCTCGTTGTGTGGGCACAGGCTTAAACTGCTGGAATTCCTATTTTATTCCTTTATTCCCCCCTATTTTATTCTTTAGGTTACTCTCATGGTTACACAGCAAAGAATTGCTGGCCTCATTGTTTCAACATGTTGACTTTGTTGACATTTGAAATTTGTTGGAAATTAATCACTAGGCAGTCATAATTTATGCAGGACACCAAGCATAGATCAGGATACATAATGGATGATCAATAAAAATGTGCCTGCACCCTAGTGACCAATTCTGATCTCATCTTGATTTTGTAATTTGGGGTTCTTAATGATGCAATAATTTCCAATTAGCATACCAGTCTGAGTTCAACCTCAGGGTAAGGACATAAAACTCATACTTACATTTTTTTTTTCAGCCTGTGATCATTAAATAAAAGCATTTTAATTTTGTTTCTGCTAACTTCTTGTGAGTGACAGGAATGTCCTATTAAATCAGGCTTTGGTCTTCCCCCAGTGGGTTTACTGCAATGCTAAGATACTTGCAGTCTCTTCATACCTGTGTTGATAGCATCAGGATGCTGTAACTGAAGAGAACCTGGGAAATGACTTCCACTTCTTATGCAAGATGTGGCAACATCTATTCAATTTTGTAATTGTTCCTTTATGTAGCACTCATGCTGTCAGACTTAGCCCACATGCTGTTATGTGTTTCTACATTCATGTTTGTTCTTTTTTTCAAACAAGCTGCTAAACAGTCGTCCTTCTTAGGAAAAATAAAGCCTCTGCTAAGAGAAAGTATTTGTGTGTTTGGAGTTTCAACATCTGCATTCAAACACAGACCATGCTTCTTACTTTAAAACTGAAATTGATGTTGACAGCTCATTTTTTTCTACTGGTAGCAGGTAAAGTGCCAGTTTTGTGGTACTAATTTTAGAGAACTAAATTTGTTTGAAATTAGTTAAACTAAAGAACATAAATGTCAATGAGAGAAAACGTATTGTTTGGTCCTCAGAGTTGGATACAGTTTGCACTAGTGACAGAGGCCCCCGTTCTAAGGTAATTCTGGGAGAGTTAACATCTTGAGAAACAAAATGTCCAAATATGAATTAAAAGTAGTAACTCTTCTTATGTTTATAGTTGTTTGTTGTTAGGAGAATTTTGCCAAAGACAAAAATACTTTCATCTCTAAATGCTACCTCATTTTATTTTAACCCACATTGACTTTTTTCCTTTGCAATTTACTTAAATCTTTAACCTCTTTGAAAATAGTAGACAAATAGGAAAGAGATCACCAGATGTGATCATGAGTTTTATCAGTGATAATATATTTCACCTGTATCCAAACCTGACCGAGAGAGATTTTCAGATTTCTAAGAGTTGTTCATCTTTGTCCCTGTACACACTGCTCCTAGTTCATTTGAGTTCAAGCTTAATTTCTAATATTTTAATGAAGTTTGTGCCAAAATGCTGAGTGGGACACAAATACACTATTTGATTTAATATAATTTTAACCAGCATTCACTGAGTGTCTACTGGGAGACAATAATGGTCTCTTCTCTCATGGAACTTAAACTCTTATTGGGTAATAAATATTTTATGATAAAATTATTTCCAAAAATTATATGAGAAAGTGCCAAAATGTATGGGAAAAATGTATAGGAAATCACAGTAAGCATATCAGCTTTTAGGACTTAGGGAATTTTTTTTGTAGGAGTTGGAAACGTAGTTGTATTTTGAAAACAAATATAATTTAATAGAGTAGAGGAAAAAGAGGGCATTCCAAGAAAAGTTATTGATGTGAATAAAGGGGCAACGAAGCAAAATATATTCACAGGACAATAAAAGATAGCATCCAGATGTACACAGTTGAAAGAAGATTGAGCGATAAATTAGATGGGATTGTGAGTACAGAGTGGCTGCTCTTAATTCACGGTGTCATAGAAGTATCGCTTCAAACCTGATCCTATCTTTCCAAAATTAATTTTATTTACATAATATAAATGTAATAATTAATTAAAATTGCATGTATATTTATACACACATTCATATAGATGCATATACATGCACACTTACATATACACACACTCTAGACAACACCTCTCTGACTATCACCTCCTCACCATACAGACCTGCTCCCTACAGGCAGCCGCTCTGAATTATTTTGTCTGTTTCTTTTGATATTTATATACACTTTTCTGATGAACATGTAATTTTTTTCAATTTATCTAGTTTAAAATCAGCCATGGGCTTTCTATTCACAGGCACAAATTTATGACTATATTCACGTTAGTCATTGCTGATCCCAGTGATAGACTGACTCTTTCCTCTTCTGTATGTTTTTCCTGAAGTTAATATTTCCTCATCAAAAGAAAATAATTCTGAATTTTCTTCCCATTCTCTCCAACAACCTTTCAAAACAAATTTCCACACAAACCTGTCATTAACTACTTCCCCTCCAGAGACCTCCCCTCCTGGATTGTTTAGGTGGATTGTTTGCTTTTTTGGCCTTTTTAGCTACTTTCATTTTTGGACTTCCCTCCACCACTCCCAGGTGTAGGATTGTGTTGTCTGAAATCTAATGTGTATCAACCAGGATATGCTAATTACTAAAATAAACCACCCAATGTTTTTTCAGTAGCTTCCCATAGTAAAATGTCTGTTTCACACTCACTTCTTGTGTGACTTGGGCAGGTGTGAGGGCTCAGCTCCAGAGTCCTGCTGAAACCCTTCGCTCCATTGTGTGGCTCTGCAGACATCTAGATTCCTCCACAGCATCTTCTGTCTAATAATCCAAAAAAGAGAGTAAGTGTGGAGAAACCACAAGAGGAGTGAGGGCCAGACCTGGAGTGGCACGTACCACTTCTGCCTACACCCATGGGCCAGGACGTGGTCCCATGGCCTCAGCAAACTGTACCCCAGAGGCTCAAAAACGCCCTTCTGTACGTTCAGAACAAAAATGAGTCTGTTTTGGGGTACACCTTCTATTGTCTCTGCCAAACCATCTCTTTATTTTTGTTTTCATTTTGATGGAATAGTTTCCTCAGCTGATACCAAGAAAAGAGTGTATTTAGTGACACATTTATTGGGACCTTGTTAGTTGGAAGTATTGTTTTCTTACTTGATTGACAATTTGGCTGGGTATCGATATTGATACTTTGTTTTAGATGTCTAATGACATTTAGCAGGTGGTATTGCTCTTTACAGCCCCAAGCCTTTTTGGATAGTTAATCCTTTCAACAGGGCTGCACTCTTTGTTTTGCTTTTTCCATAAATCTCCCAAAGCCCATGCTTCTTATTTTTATCACTGGTGTTAAGGATTTTGCAACAATGGGCTTTGGTGTGAGCTTTTGTCATTCATTGTAACAGAAAATCAGAAAGCCCTTTCTGTTTAGAGCTTCAACCCTTTAGTTCAAGGAAATATTTAGGAATGTATTTTTAAAATTTCTTTCTACTTCATTTTTTTATGGAACTCTTATTAAAAAGATAGAATGATCCTATAAGTTTCTTGCTCTTTCTATACTATTGTTCATATTTTCAGTTCAACTACTTGATTTTCTTGACTTTATCTTTTAATTACTCTAATAATATTTCATTTTGACTATTTTATTCTACATTGTCTTTTATTTCCTTTTTGAAATTTAAATAATTTTGACCATATATTGCATTTGCCTTATTCAGAAGTCTAAACTCCTCAGGAAGTGAAATGATACACACAGATAGTTCTTTCCTCCATCCTGCCTTTTCCACCCTGTTCTCCTCCGCCCACCCCATATGCAGTCAGCATTTTCATTCCATTGCTACTTCTTGGGGGAAAAAATATGTTTGTGTTTCTGTATGTGTAGATATTTCAAGAAAGGATCCTTATTATCCCACATTCTACTTAACATTAGTTTTTATATGTAATGTTCTATACCTTAATTTTTCTTTTTACTGTAATCTGTAGATCTCACAATATTAATACAAGGAGATCACTTTTCATTCTTTATTATGGATGCACAGTACTCCATGTATGTCAGAGTTTCCATCTTCAGCATTATTGTTATTTTGTAAAACATCATTACTTATTATGAGGGGATTCCTAGAGGCCAGCAGCAACACTTCACCCTGTGTTGTGACATCCAAAAAAGTCCCCTAACATTGCAAAATGTCCCCTAAGGGGTAAAATCACCCCTTGTTGAGAAGCACTCATGTAGATTACCATGCTTTTGTTGTTGTGGCCATTGTTGATTTCAACAGTACCCCTGTTATTGAACAATTGTTATTCTCTTAACTTTTGCTGTTACAAATAATACCATCATGAATAATCTTGAAAAATAGATGCCTTTATACTTGAACAGGTAAAATAGGTTCTTGGAAGTGAGTTGTAAGCCAGCTATTAAGTTTTTTTAGTTGGAAGACCTATCCATATCTGCGCTGGGAGTCAGTTGGTACTCCTTGAGTTCCTACTGACATCCAATTCAAATTTAGAATTCCTGAACTTCTACTTAATTTAAAAGCAATTTTTCTTCTTTGTATCTCTGTTCTCTTAAACTGAAAATTTTGGCTCCTATCAACATTAACACTTATATACTATATTTGTTCAATCATATACATATATAAATTCAGTGATATATATTCAATCATATATTCATATTTAAATTATATATAAATATACATTCATATATAGCTAAATTCCTATATAAGTATTCATATATAAAAATCACATATAAATTTATATACACACACATATAAATCTCTGTGTTGTTATGCCACCAATTTGCTACTCAGTGTTTTTGTTTCATTTTGTTTTAAGGATTTTTTTTTTAATTTAATGCTTTTTGTATTTATATAAAATATGTGATTCCAAAGTCGACCCTGCAAATTAGGTACATATATCAAGAATTTAACTTATTTGTCCATTCTGTTTTCTCCATCCTTTCTGCTAGTCATTTTTGTTAGTTTTGTGTTATTTTTCTATTTTTTAAATAAAATAAATGTGTATGCACTTTTATTCCCTCCTATCTTGTGTCATACTATTCACATTTCTTTTTCCTCTGCTTTTTATCACTAATTATATATATGAGAAATTATTCCATAGCAGTTTATAAAAAATAGCCTTCTTCCTTTTTGACAGATGTTTAGCACTCCATCGTGTAGTTATACCAGAAGTCACTCCTACAGTTCAGAAGGGAGTAAAGACGGAAATGTGTGCTCAGTCTGCCCTCTTTATCTGAATATGTCATATTGGCTTCAGCTTAGGTTGTAATTCTTTGCTTTAGTAGCTGCCAAAGTATATTGGATATCCTTGGAGACAAGTTTGGACATACAGTTTTATTCCTAAGTAAAGATCATTTTAAACAGTACTAACATAATTTAAAATGGCAATAAACCTAATCTGAATTAAAGAGTGAAATAAAAAATAAATGATTTCACTCAGGGCTTTTGTGACCTAGGAGTATAAGAACAGGGAGAACTGTATCAGTCTGTCTGTGCTTAAATTGTGCCTAACTGACATGTGTGAAGGAGCAGAGGCTCTCCACACACGGTGGGAGTAATGAGAAGAATGACATGCATTTACTAATGTGTTTACTATATTTAAAGGAAAGAGTTGATCAGTTTGGTTAATTACTAATACATTCCATTAATGAAGTTCAATTTGAGAATCAAATTGGTTAATTAGAACTCTAATTGTAAGAATAAATAGTATCCTTCAACAATGTCTAGTTTAATTGAGTCAATATTTGTAACAAAGATGATAGACAAATTGGTGGTATTGAAAATCTCCCTTTAAACTGAAAAAGCATGAGATTACTTCTGGCCATTCCATATTCATTACTGAATCAAAAAGAAATTCAGATCTCACACTAAAATCTTTACTAAATAATGTAGACTTGCCACTATAGGTTTTATTTTGAGTGACAATAATGACGGCATTATCACTGCTCTTTTTTCTCCTCTCTTTCTAACATTTCATATCACATGGCACTTGTACAAACCACTCTTCTCTCTCTTTCCATAAATTCCTCACCTTCAGGCTATTCTGCCTTATAAGTGCAAAATTCTCTAACCCTCTCTGCTTAAACAGGCCCTTGAAAAGTGTTGAATGCTTCCAGTTCTAAATGTGCTTTTTGTTTGTTTTGTTGTAGTTACAAGAAACAGTATCATTGGAATGCTAGTGAGGTTCAGTGAGAAAAATATGTATCTATGTTAAGTAAAGAAAAGAAGACTTATTTACTTAAAGTGCAAATGAGAAATCTTGTATCAGTATTAATGCTGCATAAAATACAAGGATGTATAATATTTTAATATAAATTATTTTCAATCAATAAGCAGTGATCCAATAGGAAAATATATAAAGAATATAAGCAATTCACAATGGAAGAAACTTAAAGGTCTGATAAACCTTTAAATCAAAAAGCACTAAGTTTCACAAGTTATCAGAGATGAAAATTAAAACATGAGATCTTGTTTTTTAACAAAATATTTAAGTAATGAAAACTATGATAGTAAGTGTGTGAGACTTTGAGGACATGAGGCTTTTTTTCTCATATATTGCTAGTGGGATTGTATTATAGCAAAATAATTCTGCTGTGATATTTGGAAGAATGTTGCAAAGTCTTAAAAGTTGTACTCCTTTTCAGCAAATGATCCTCCTTGTTAGAATCTATCAAAAAGAAATAATAATGGATGCCTAAGTAGATAGATAAACAGAAAAATATAATTTTATTATGCCCAACCATTAAAACAGCCCCAAATGATCCCCACCTGTTTGTATTCATGCCCCTCTGAACCATTCCACTTGAGTATGGGCTGGATATAGTGACTTACTTCTAATGAGTAGAATACTGCAAAAGTGATGGCATGAAATTAGGTGCTGGAAAACTGTGACCTCTATCTTGCACACACTTTCTCTGACTCTTCTCACTGTATGGCTTGGATGACAAGCTAGCAGGCTTTGAGCTGCCCTAGGAAGAGACCCACATGCTAAGGAACTGAAGGTGGCTTTCAATCAATCGGCAGCAAAAAACTGAAGCCTTAAGTACAGCAACTCATGAGGAATGGAGTCCTGCCAACAACCACTGAAAGAGCTTGAAATTGAATCCTACTCTGATTGAACCTTGATATGACTATGGCCCTTGATCAGCCTTGTATGGGATTCAGCTAGCCCTACCCAGATTTCTGATCCACAGACACCATGAGATAATAAATGTGGGTTGCCTAAAGCTGCTAAATTCTGGAGTAATTCCATATGCAGCAGTAGATAACGAATAAATGTGCAAAAATGGATCTCGCTATATAGGTGAGTGAAGAAACATGATTTAAGTAATAACAAGATAAAGCATAATCCACGTTTAGGCATAAATACAACCATGCCCACACATAAACGTGTGTGTTAAAAAAACCGGGAGAATATCAATCAAATGATAAATATTATTTCTAAGCTATGAGATAATAGGCTATTTAAAAATGATTTCCCTAGGTGTTACTATATATTTCAAATATTTTAATAGTAAATTATTTTAAATTCTGATATCTAAGGGAGAAAAGAAACAAATCAAAGTAAGCAGAACAAAACACGTTTCGAGTCCACCTTGGTGCTTTGCACATAGTTGGAGATCAGTAAGTCTTGGATAGAATGTTTGCAAATTTCCAGAAGTTTCTCAAGACCAAAGAAACTTTACATATTTTCTTATAATACAGATAGTCAAAACCCTGTTTTGGGTTTATTTTTTTCTTTTTTAGTATTTGTTCTTTAAATTTTGTCAACGTGTATTAATGCACTAAAGAAACAGTTGTGTTTAAATCCAGGCAACAGTAAGAGTCACTAGATAACCCAGAGAGTACCTTACTATGATTTACAAAACTGAAGAGCACATTATTCTAAGAAGGAAATGATCCCTGCAAAAGCTGAAGATAAAACTGTGATGGAAGTCCGGCAGAGAGCAAAGGCATCAGGAGGGCGCCTGCAGAAAGGGCATTTACCGAAGCTGAAGAGCTTAATATGCCAAACCAATTTCATGTTTTAGTTGCATTCAGCTTCTCTAAAGGTCTGTATTATGAATCACTGGTGCACTGTAGACATGCTAGCTCGAGACTGAACAAGAGACAACATACCCTGGAGCAGACACTTAACTTGGACTATCCATCTTTTTAATATGCCTAATAACGGGGTAGTCAGACATAATGAATTACACAGTTTTATGTATTTGAGGAACCATAGACTGGTTTGACTGTGCACAACTTTCTTTTCCTTAGATTATTTTTTTTTCATTCCTTAACCCTGGTAAATCTGAATGTGAGATGCCTGGAAGATATGCTTATAAAAACAAAGAAAAATTGTCTGCATACGCTATTAAAATAGAAATAGCAAGCATTCTTTCCTTTGATACTTCTAACTCAAAACCATGAATTTGAAATTGTTTACCTAAATATTGAGAATAAAGGAAGTCAGTACAGTTTAGGGATTAAATCTTTGGTTGTCAGAGTTAAAAGACCTGGCCTAGAGTTGCTTTTCAGTTTTAACACACCCTATCTGGGGAAATTTTGGCAAGTTACTTATTTTCTTGGAAACTTCATTTCTTCAGCTGTAAAATTAGTTTAATAATTAGTACTTGCCTAATGGATTTTCAATGAGATAGTGCATTTAAAACCTTTTACACAGTAATGAGCACTCAAGACACATATGTGGACATCTATCTAGTTTCCTATTTCTCTATCTACATAGATTCTCATTGTTGCAGCAAATTCATTTAGTTTAACAAATGTTTACTGAGCACCCACTCAGTGCTCAGCACCAAGTCACAAGTTAAAAATACCTCTTTCTGCCTAATTTTACCTACTTCCTAAGTATATAGCATAACCTGTCTCTATAGATTATTATTTTTTTGTTTCCATTTCAAAGGTTCTTTTTATAAGATGCATTTCTGAGTTGATTTGTTGGTGGGGGGTCCTTGGCTTTCATTTTGCATTCCAGCTCTGCTCTCAGGGCATCAATTAAGTTAAATTGCCAAATTTCTTCCCTCGGGAAGAACATAGAGCATTTAAAATATATATTTTCTATAATGTTTATGTGTTTCTGTGCTACCAAAGCACACTGATTAAGTGATTGCCAACGGCAATTTCTGTGGCACCTCAGTTTTTCTTTTAGATCTTCTTATGAAAAATACTAAGTAAATTGGGGGAAAATTCACAAAAATACCTGCAATTCCTCACTGTCTACCAAAAAAGGCACTATTCACTTTGTGACTGGGAAAACCCCTGAAATTCCACACAGCTGCCAAATCCAGAGTGTTTGTTTCAAAACAGGAAGAAAATACACCTCCCCGAAGCACACACTCAGAGACGCTCCACCTGATCAGTCAGTGAGCAGAAGGGATCGTTTTTCGGACAAGCACTACCTCTTGTGAAGAAGTTTTGTAAGAACTTTATTCTTTTGATCTCAGCCATGAATAAAACAGAGATCTGAGTTTGATATCATCTCACATATATGAGAATAATGGCTATTTTGCACATCAATGCAAACCTTTTCTACTTTTACAAAAAAAAAAAAAAAGAAAGAAAGAAAAAGAAAAGAAGGCCGAAGTACACCCTGTACTATCTCTAAAGCTAAATATAAGACCAGGATATGGGAGAAATTCCTAAAAGTCTTTGCCTTCTTGAAATAACAGGATGTTAGGGTCGTGTGGTAGGACTCAGATCAGGCTTCCAATCTGAGCTCTGCTGTTAACTTGCTTTAAAAATTTTGCTATCTACTTATCTACTTTATTTTCCTTATCTGTAAAATAATAAGATGGGGCAGGAAGATCTATGTTCCCCTCTGATCCTGTCCTCTGATTCCCCCCACCACTGTGTTTATCCGTAACTGTAATGTATGTCTCAGTTTTTGTTTTGGAAGAGAGTGATAATTACTGTGAGGCCACCAGAATGACCAACATTCTATTTTATTAGGCATCCTGAGTTCAGAAATGGCCCTTTGGTAACAATCATATTTACAAAATTTGCAGCTACAGGAAATATCTTTGCATGCAGTGGAAGGACCCAAGGCATCTCAAAATAATGGGAATAATAACAATAATAATAATTGACTTACCAACTGCCAAACTGTGTAAAGGCCTTAGACTAATTGATTCCACAGCTTAATGTGGACAAAGGAGAAACTACTTAATTTGTCACTAGAGCTTGTTTATTTCATCAGCTAGTCAATCAGAAAAACACTTTCTATAGTATTTTAAAAGTTATTTTTGTATTTCCTATTCTTACTAATATTGTATTTGCTGATTTATGTCATACAAATCAAGAGATGCTAGTGTGCTTTCAAGCCACATCTTTCATCACCACATGCAATCCCCCTTCCAAGCCATTCGTAGCTCTTAAGCCCCTTTTATGGAGAAATTTTGGAGCCATGACAGATTCCATGGTATTTATATTTCAAGGCTGAAATAGAGCTTATGATAGTTGGCAAACAACAGCCGTGGGTAATAGGAGGTATTGTGGGCCCTGGAGCTCTTTTGCAGACCTTTCCACACTTAGCATGATGCTAACACAAACAATCTTTCTGCCCTGCAAATGTCTTTTTCCAGTGAGTTAGTTTTGCATAATTGCAAATGATTTGAATCTCAGAAGCAAAGTTCCAGAGCTATAGTTTTGGTGATTATTTGAAAGAACATTTGGGCACAGCATATTCTGGTAAATTCATGCTCATATGGTCCTCTGATTTTTTTTTCCCCAACGTCATTACCTCATTGCTAATTATAACTACTGCCCTTTAAACTCTTATCACTCTAAGTACTGTTCTCTGTGTACCATCTCTTGCTATGGCTGTAAATCCCAAGCAGAATCTGAAAAACAAACAAAAAAACCCTCCAAAATAAAACAAAAAAACAAACAAACCAAAAAAAAAAAAAAAAAGAGAGAGAGAGAAAAAACCACAGCAACCCAAAACACAAAAGCTCAGTTGAGCAGAAGATATCAGCATGCAAAGCTGGATAAGGCAATTAAATAAGATAAGGACTTCCAGTGTTACTACAGAGCCTTACACACAGACCTAAGCATTTCCGTATGTGGTCACTGGAGTATAATAATAAAAGACAGATTCTGGATTTGTGCAGTGGCCTGGTGCCTAACACTTCCTGGATCATACACGACTTCTGCCATCAATTTATTATTTATCTGAGTCTGTCATTTATTCTTTTTCTGTGCTCTTTAGGCAGGTGCAACACCACAATCTTATTAAGGCTTGAGAAATAACTTGAGATTCTGAGAAGAAAAATAAGCAGCAAGTTCTAAGCACCTTAACTTCCCCACAATTGTGCACTTTATTCTCATATGCTTTGCAGAGTAAACACCTGGGAAAGTGCCTTTTGCTCGTAAAATGATTTCTCATCTGGCTCAGACACTTCATGTGTGGTCAGATAAAAGGAGTGAACTAATTCTTTGAAGTCAGAGGACGTAACCTAGAATCAGACTCGAGAGAGTTCAAATGCAGTATATGTTTTCCATTATCTTTTGAGTGAAGAGGCCAGGCAGATTTTCTTGATGATATAAGCTCCCACCAGGAATTAGGCATTCACTCCAACTGCATGTCTCTCACTTGCTTCCCTCTTTCGCTTTTAGGATATTTTGCAATAAAGCTATGATAGCTGAAAATAAACTGGGCATTATTAGGGCAGAAAAGGGGACTCAAATAAACATTTGCCTTTCCAAAGAAATAGAACTTTAGATTCTTTTTTCGAGAACTCCCCCTCCAATAAATTTTCCATCAGCAAGCCACTAAATATTTCATGCTATCCTAGCCGAATGCCCCTTTTCCTTAAAGAGCTGTGACTTGGCCACAGAGAGGAGTGGAATGGGATGTGTTTGTGAGTGTGTGTTTGGCAGGAGATGGGGGAGCATGGACTACATAGGTCATTCAATTATCATTCTAGAAAATTAGAATTTTCAGAAAATTACTAATCCATGATAATAAGTGGTGTCTCATGGGTCTCTCACATAAATCAATAATGCATCAGAGTGTAGCTAGTTTCCAATACAGCTGACTAAAAATGAAAAACAAATTGAAAAGAAAATCTCTTGTTGGAATGTGAAAGAAGGAAAAAAACTTTCAGATATCCAGGAAATACCATCACTAACATAAAACACGAATCTTTCTTTCTCTTTAAAGAATCACAATTCTCTTGTTGCCTGTAGCTCCTTACAATACTGTCATTGCAGGAAGTTTTTATAAACCTAGTCTTAATGGGTCTTGTCTGTCACTCTGTATCTGCCTGCCTCAGTGTTTCTCTCCCCTTTCTTCACATTCCAATAAACTTGCCATTTCCATTTTTTACATATTTGAATGGAACATTACTTTCAGTGGAATCTTAAGCAGGGGTTTCTAGTTTTCAGTCCTGGCATTTGTCCCACGAGGAATATTTCCCTGAGGGCTTGTGCTTTTGCTGAATGGGGGTGGGGACAGTTCTTTCTCTAAGCCATCTTGTTCTCTGGGCAGTTCTACCAGGGCACGTTGCCCATCCCTTTCGTCTACAGAGCAGTGAGCTTGGGTAGCTGCCACTTCGGGTTTCTCCCAAAGAACCATTTTCCCAGAGGAGGCAGAGCCTGGGAAAGAAGCAAGGGCAGGATTCCCTTTAGTTCCTAAGTCATGAGCTTTTCTCCTTTTTTTTTTAGTAGAAGAAGAAACCCTGCCAACCTGCCACCTTCTTCCTTCTTTCTACCCTCATTTTCAAACACTTCTAAATATAGCAAAGATCCCATTCCCTGGCAGAGAAAAATAAGGGACCTTTTTCAATTCCACAAAGAATGAGGCAATGTTGGTGTGACGATTTTACTGTGACTGTGAAATAATAGCCGTTTCTTCTCCAAAACGCTACCTGGCATAGGTTTGCAACTCCAGGCAACAAACAGGTGAGGGAAGATGGACGTGGCAAGCAATACTAATTCCATGCACTAAATACTTCCTTATCTTTGCCTCTTCATTTTCTGTGACTCTATATAACTAGACATTTTTATGTAATTTTAAGTAATATGCATACATTGCCACATGTTTAACCAAACAAGAAAACATAGAAAATACCTATTTAAAGCTCTGTCCTCACATCTTTGCTTTCACAGTCCCATTCCTTCCAGGCACGTGTTGATAAATGTTTACGATATTTTTTTCTAGACTTTTTCAATACATATGAACACACATGTACAAAAATGTAGAAAAATGGAAACATCGATATTATACCATAAACATTATTTATTTGAGCTTTCTTTTTTCTTTTTTTAAACCTAATAATACATCTAGGAGATTTTCAAAAGTACTCATACACCTATATGTTCTTAATTTTTTTTAATGTGTATGGGTAAGGAGTATACTGAACCCCCCCATTCCCTTGCTTTATTTATATTATAGCAATTTCTATTACCTTTCCCCATGAATTAAATTACCCACGTATTTTTATAAATTTGATCGTTCCTATAATTTGCGCAAGTTTCCAGAAATTCTTGTTAAATGCTATTATTTGCTGTTAAGCTAACTCTGAAGCTACAGAGGAGTCTACATCTGGTTTGTTTAAAAAGAGAAAACATAAACTATAAATTTTCTGAATAATTTTAGAGATTTCTGTAGGGTATGTTAGTAATGTGAGAAATGCTTAGGGAAGACCAAGTACTTGAAGTGGGAATGGATCTGCCTTCTTCGTGTAAATATATTCTTGTTGTAGAACAGTCTTAAGAAATGTCAATTAATAACCTATAAACATTGTTTCCTTAATTTATTCTTTTTCACTTTTAGCAACATTTTCCCATATAAACATGGATAAATTATGCATTCAAAAATATTTATTAAATTCCTAAAGAGGCCTAAGCATAATGCTAGATGTAGGCCATGCAAAATAATTAAATTTCACTTCTGAGTTTCACAGTCTAGTGGGGAGACAAATATTTGAAAATTACTTTTGAAAGTTATAAATATAAAACAATAAAGATGTCCTAGGAAATTCTAGTTCAGTAAACATTATAATACAAACCTGGAGATGCCATGAATTTTGGTGAATTTTAAAGCCGTACTTAGTAACACCTAAAATTTGTGAGAAACTCATGTGGAGACACAGGGTGGCCAGATGTGTCATTGTGAGAACTTTGTGGACTGAGAGATATGCCTAGATGCCTAGAGCAGAAAATGGCCAGGGCCCAACACAGGGGATGGACAAAGGGAGGTCTTTGTAATTAAAAAAAAAAAATCCCCATTGATCTTGCAGAGATCATTATCAGCTCTTTTCCTGATTATCAAGATAAGAGCAGTACCAATCTAAGGCGGCCTCGGGATTAAGTCATACCCAGGTGGCCCTGGAAGCTGTTCTAAATGAAGAGCAATGGCAACAATAGGTACAGTTACAGTCCTACTCCTTAGTCCTGGAACCACTCCCACTTCATACGCTGAGCAAATGCCACAGAGAGAATGTCCTCCTGTTAGTGTCTGCAAGCTGAGAGAGCCAGCAGGGGGCACTTGATGATGGAGTGCAGGGAACAGGAATAAAACTAGCAGCACTAAACCTGTCCTCATCCGTAAGGACACAAACTAAGACCTAGACTTCCATCAACATCCTTTATCATAGACATTAATAAACAAGTAATCTAACATCACAGATGTGTATGTGATCTAATAAGGTAACTCTACCCATCTTGGAGCATAGGTTAAAAAAGAGAAAAAAAAAAGGGAAGAGAAAAAAATGAAACAAGGAAGGAAGGAATCTACAAATACAACTGAAAATGAAAGAAAAAGATTGCTATTTTATAAAATGCATTTTACTAAAAAATACTAGAAAGATAAAGGACATTGGAAACATAAAGTATGAACAAGAAATAATGAAGAGGAATAAAATGAAAATAGCAACACCCAGATGTAACTGTTGAAATAACTCACTGGATGAACTGAATAACAAATATAAACAAAATATAACAAAAACGAAAATAAATAAACAGAAATAAAGAACATAGAAAAGAATGAACTACAAATTGGGTTAAGAAATATTAGGAAGGGAAATAAGACATAATATTGAAGTTGTTAAGGAATATGGAAAATAAGAGTAGAATTTTCAATATCAACCGTCATGAATCTCAAGAGGAAAGAAAAGAAAAATCAGGGAAAAGAATGCATTTGAAAAAATAAAATATATCAAACAAGATTTTTGTCAGAAAGAAGTATACAAGATCTTAGATTCAAAGGATACACAGAATTCTGTACAGGACATATAAGAAAATGACTCATACCTAGACCCATGTAGCATAACTTAAAGAATGTACAAATTAGAAGAAATAATTTAAAACTTACAAGAATAAGAAAAAAAATAACTAAA